TCTCTATACCCGCTTCAAGCTGTGAGTGTGAGCGCGTCTTCAGTGAGCTCGGAGATCTACTAGAGCCTCGCCGACGCTGTATATCACCTGAGCTACTAGCAGCACTACACTCAGTACGACGATGGAGACGGGCAGGTTTTGGTGGCGGCGACAACGACGATATGGGCCAATCAAAGCTTACCGACGAGCAGATGGACGTTTTGTACGAGCTTAGCCAGTGGGTGGGCGAAGACGACGATCTAGATACATGGGACGACGGCTGAGACTCAACACCAAAAAATATATACAACTTTCCTATTTGGGAATCAAGCACCCAAGCTACCAATCAAGCTGACAACTTTCCGCCAAGCCAATTCAATCAATCCAGCCAAATCTCATACAAACAGCCAATCAATCAAGCCGGGGGCTGTCAGCTTGCTTGATTGATTGATCTCAGGTGTGGCAAAAGGATGGGGCTGCTTCTAGCACCTTTTTCTAGAAGGAGTTAGTAGAGAAGTTTAAAGAGCTTCTAATTCGTTGGATTGTGTACTGTCATATCGCCTTCTTTCAATTAGAGAACCAGTACTTTCGTGAACTACTCCTCTTTTTAAATCCGGCACTACTCAACCACCTCCCGAAGGCTGCGAAGACTATCCGAAGCTGGGTAATGAATGCATTTATATCGAAGAAGCAACAGCTTAGGGAGGACCTACACTATTCACGGAGTAGGATCTCTATCTCCTTTGATCTCTGGACTTCACCAAACCCTTACGCTATCCTAGGCGTCGTCGCTATGTAGATTGACACTACCGGCATGCGACGTGTTACCGCTTTAGGTATGCGACGTATATACGGCGAACATACTAGAGAGAATCTTAGATCGGTGGTCCTTGAATTGCTGGAAGAATACGACATTAGCGGAGATCAGATTGGATACTTTATGCTGGATAATGCCTCGGCAAATGATACCGCTGTTGAGTTTATACTTAAGGATCTCTGCCTATAGATGAAGTCAAAACAACGTCGTCATCGCCGGCTGCGTTGCTTAGGCCATGTTATCAACCTCTGTTGCCAGGCGTTCCTTATGGGGCGAAACTGTGAGAAGTATCTTGCGAAGCTGGAGAAGCATCATCAACGTGGCGACTATACGAAGGTGGAAGAGCTCTGGAAGAAGTTCGGATGTTTGGGTCGTCTTCACAACCTGGTGCGATACATCAGGCTTACTCTACAACGGCGTGAGGAGTTTGCTACAATTATTATCGGCGGAGATCTTTCGCAATTCGACGGGCTTGAGCTTATCCAGAACAACTCGACCCGCTGGAACTCATGGTTTTATTCGATTACACGTGCATTAAATGTTCGAGAACGTTTAGAGCTCTTCTCGGCTCGTTATGTACCTAGAAAGGGCTCCGTAGGGATCGCGAACTTTAAGCTTAATAGACAGCACTGGTTTAAGCTTAAAAAGATTGAACTCGCTCTCAAAGACTTCTATGCTGCAACTTTGCTTTCTGAAGGTAAGAAGACGTCACTTGCGGACTGGTTTTCAACTTTAGACTGCCTTCTCCGGGAGATAAGCGAGACGAAGGATCACTACCACGACATCCACACTAAGGACGATAACAACTTTACATGGAAGTACCTTCAAGGCTGCGCTGATGCTGCTTAGTTAAAGTGCGTTAAGTACTATAACAATCAGCAGCTGAATTGGCAAAATCGATTCCCTAAAGATACTGACCTTCCACCAGCATATTATGCGGCTCAAATCCTTAATCCATATCGCAAGTGGGGATGGTTCAGGCAAGAGTGGGTTCTTCAGGGCGACGAAGAGAAGAAGAGGTGGTTTGAAAACGCACAATTAGCGGTGAAGCATCTCTGGGAGACAGAGTATAAGGGAAGGTACCCTGTCGAGATGCTGCCACCACCAGCCAGGAAGGAGAGAGCTCCTGACCTAGCATTTGATCGCCAGCGGGAACATAAGCGCATTCGAATAGACGCTCCAGTTTCTACAACTGATTTGTATGAACAATACATCTCTACTGACCGGCTTCATAACGAAGAGGCAGGTTGCAATGAGGCTATTGCGTACTGGCTATCTCGCTACGACTCCCAACGAGATCTCGCTCGCTTCGCTCTAGACATGTTTGCGATCTCGCCTATGTCGGATGAATGCGAACGTCTTTTTAGTAGCGCGAAGCTTACTATCGTCGATCGCCGTGGTAGGCTGAAGGCAGATATTATAGAAGCGTGCGAGTGTCTCCGGGCCTGGTATGGAAAGCCCCAAGCTGAGGGGAACAGCGATATCGAGGATAGTGAGAACGAAGACGACTAGATTGACAGTTAGTAGTAAAACACATTTCCTCGGCTTCCTTCTTTGCTTCAGCCTCATTCTTGGCGGTCTTGTTGGTCGGACCGGTCTGGTCGGACCGGTCCTTATGTAAGCACCTGGTCTGGTCTGGTCTGTACCCTCAGACCAGACCAGACCAGACCATTCCGATCACTGTATGTCGTTGGACCCGAGTTGGGCCGAAGTAGGATTGAGGCGGTGCATTGGGTTTTACAAAGGGAGTATCACCCCTTACTAAGGGGCATTAAGCCCCTCGGAGGGGTTCTTTGTTTTACCCCTCACTTAGAGCCGAAGTAGGATACCCCTTACATCTAACCCCTATTATCTGACAGGTGTAGAGCAGTCCCTCTGCATGGTGCAGCACGTATCCATAGATCTCGTCGCGGAGCTCGCGTGGCAGCCGGAACAGCGGAAGAGAATTATTCATGGCCAAATTCTCGTGCACCGACCGTACAGTGCGGGGCCTGTCACCTTCTTAACCCCAGCTGACTGGGAGATTTCATTCACATGGTAAGCACTGTCTTACAACCCACGCACATCCCGCAATCTACTTCCTTTGTCCCGTCAGCACGTCAGCAATACCCTATGAAGATCGGGAGCGACATTTTGTTGGCTCAGCCAAGTACTGCGCTAGCACGTATACGGCGGCTCAGCTCTGGCTCTTCTCAGATGGTTTGACCGCATCAGAAATCTGATGATGCAAATATTCCATGGAGTACTATCTTCTGGAAAATCAGGCAACAGAGGGGTCGATTTAGCTCGGACCAATCGCTCAAGACGCAGCTTGCATCACCTTCCACTGAAAGGGTCCATAGACATATGGACGGACAAGGATCGAATCTATACGCGATGATGATTCTGATCTTCAGGACTCGCATCCCCAACACCGTAGATGAACCCACGTCTCAGCCTCCCAATCATCGACGCTGCTTGCCTTGCAATCTTTTCTACCGGACGGGAGATGAAATCTCTGTAGGACATGGGCACATCACGTCCTGCACAAAGAAACCTGGTGCGTTGCTCGTTAGCGGCAGCCAGGAATAAGGTGTGAACATGGGCTCATTACCTAGCACCATCTGCTGATGCCCACTGGTCCGATACACCCGGCTAGGATAGCCCGAGAAGACCGAGATTGAGAGCCCTATTTCCATCCACTCTTCGCAAACCTCGTCCGCTCCGGCAGCCCGTCTGCACGTCCCGGATCTCTGACGGGACGACAACTGGCGCGCATTGCGTCGGCTTCTGTGATTTTGGCGAGTGCGGATGTAACAGCGAGGAACTAGGCGGATATCGCTTTTTGCCGCAGCCATGGAGACTGGATGTTGGCTCCATAAGGTCGCAACTTCCGCTGGCTTTTTCTGCGAGGCGCGGTTCAGTTCAGATAGGGAAGATAGTGAGGAAATGGATCTTGAGTAGTCGGCGTGCTTCAGCCGGCCCAGTCATCGTTTAATCTTCCTTTCAAGTAGCATATATAGTTGCTAGCGAATGCAGCTTCACCCCCGCGTCCATCATCCAACAAAATCAGTTGTCGTTAGGTCAACGACTGACCAATCACGTCGGCTGTCTGAGGGCAGACGTCTGGTGCTAAGCCATACACGGAAGGCGAGACTGTTCAAAACCATTGCGCAGCTGTGCGTAAGGGTGAAGGTGTAATCGCCAGCGGCTGTATGCCAGTATCGATCTCCAAGGTAGGAAAAGCAGAGCAGTATCGTTCTGCCTGCCAAGCTATTCAACGCTGCGCCGCTGACATTCAATTTTGAGGTGACCCAATCCAGTGATTGCTATGTGAGAAATCATCCTTCTTACCGCACGATGCTATATCTTGCATTTGCCATTTCGCTTTCCTGTCGTCCATGCTAAGCTATTCTCGCCTAATAAGTGTCTTACTAGTCCCCGTCAGCAGTAAGGCCTGCTGACAGCAGTCGGTAAACTCTCCGCGCCAATCAAAGCCTGAGGCTTGCGTGCGTTAGTCCCTATACGGCCGAGTCGTGGATCTAACGTCACCGGGCCAGGCGCTAGCTAAAAAGGGTAATTGATCTTCCACCCTTCATCGTCGTGATTGATCCGTTGCACCTGTGTCCAGAATGATTACAGTACCAGCGAGGCCGATCGTGGCATGACTTAATGACGACTGTCAGCGCTTTCCAGGATCTCTCGGCTCGGTGCAAGACTACCATGACAGAAACCGTGCCGCAGTGGCGCGGTTGCTGACTAGTAAGCAGCTTACGCTGCTCAAGCGGTCATGCGCGCAGAACTAAGCGACAGAGTGCTGGGTTTCTCATTTTATATGTAACCTTCCAGTACAGCCGCTAGCGATTGCACCTTCACCCCCACGTGCAGCTGCGCAATGATTTTGAACAGTCTCACCTTCCGCGTATGGCTTAGTGTCGAGACGCGGTGAGAGCCTTCACTAGTATTCACGGTGAATCAGGCTTCCCGTGCTCTGATTGGCCAGGCACTGATTAGTCAGCTGCTCCGTGCGCGCACCATAGATATTCTCCCTTCTCCCGTAGCTCCAATACAACAAGTTCACGCACGTTTTCTCCACCTTCATCAGGTTATGAGCCCTCCTCTATCACGATAAAGTGCTCTAGAGGTGCGATTTCCGCAGCAGCAGAACCGATCAGTTGAACACAACATCAGTCACTCGCGCGACGACGACGACGATAAAGTCACGATGGCGCCATCCACAGCGATGGACGCGATCCCAAAGCTACAAGCAGATGGTAGCAACGCTTACCACTGGGAAGCAGCATTGAAGCTGTACGCAAATATTCACTCTATCGGAGGTCTACTCGACGGCAGCTACGTGGTTCCATACCCAGAAACACCTCACTATCAAACTGAACCGACAACTACGTCATCGGCATTCAACACGCCACAACTTCTGCTTGACGCTCAACAACGCGTACGAGCCCACAACAAAGAAGTTACTACACAGTACGACAAAGACTGTGAGCTCTATCGTATTTACAACTCCCGAGAATCGTCTCTCACCTTGGCTATACTCAATACAGTACCAAGATCAGTATGGGACAACGTCATGAACCTGCCCACAGTGAGGCAGAAGTACGAAGCTATTACAGCTCGTTATCGTGAACAAGGCGTCACTGAAGAGTGTACTATCTGGGCAGATTTTTTCAAACTGAGAGCTCAAGACTGCCCCTCTACAGCCAACTTCACCGACAAGTTCAAAGCAGGACTTGCAAAGCTTGACGTCATCGCAGACTGTAAGCTATCTAACAAAGCTCGAGTGTATCAGTTCATT